TGTAAATCTCTTGGCCAGGTACGTACGCTACCATCCTCGCACGCTTATCGTATTGCCGTTTCGCCTTTTCATACGCCAGGTGGACACTCTGCTGTACCTCATCCCGCACTGCCTTCTGCTGATCCGATCTGGGCAACATGCGCAATTCCGCATCCTCCAGCGCCCCCAACTTGCGTGCTAGCGTGTAGTCCTTCCCGCTGGTGAACATGTGCTGCCCAAACAAAACGAAATACGGGGACGTGCCGATGCTGCCATGGATAGCACTGCGTGCTGCACACTGCACGTCCGAGACCTTCTCGTCCCACTTCGTGTGGTCGCCCTGTACATATGTCCTGATGGCCGCTAACACCGTCTGGTTCACGCGTTCCGCCGCATTCGCCTGTGGGGCATAGTTCGCCGTGCGTATGTGGGTGATGCTCAGCCCCTGCAGGAACCCCGTAAATTGGCTGGCCACAAATTGCTTACCGTTGTCGGTATGGACGGTTTCTGGGACTCCAAATGCCGAAAACACCTCCTCCTGCAGAAACCGGACCACTGCCGCCGCTGTTGCTTTTGGCATCGCTCGCAACCACACGAATTTGGACAGATGGTCAAGAACAACCAGAATGTTGGTATTCCCTCTCCTGGACCTCGGATACGGCCCCAGAAAATCCAGATACAGCCTCTGCATTGGTCGGAGCGATACGGTTTCGGCGCCCATTACCGGCCTCGCTAATTGCGTGCTGTGCTTTGTTGCTTTGCACGTTTCACAGCCGGCAACGTACCTCCTCACCTGTGCCACCATCCCGGGCCAGAAAAAAAACTGCCTGAGCCGTTCTATGGTCCTCTTCATGCCCCCATGCATAGCCGCGTCGCTCTCATGGGCCTGCTGTATAAGGGCTGCGGACACAGGACGCGGTACCCAGAGCTTCCAGGAAAATTCCTCTCGCTCGGGCCGCGTGAACTGCGCCCGCTTATACAACAGCCCATCCTCCACGCGTAAATCCGGAAATAGCTCCGCGTTTTCCTGCACCTGTTTCAGCCGCTCGGTATACTCCGCACTTTCGAAATCGGTGGTCTCGAAATCAAAAAAATCAATTTCCTCGAGTTCGAAAGGCCGCGGGAGCGTATCGGCTACAATGTTATCCTTGCCTTTCCGATGCTCAATAGTAAAGTCGAACCTTTGCAGGGTCAACGACCACCGCGCTAATCGGCCGTCCAACTCCTTCAACGACATCAGCCACCGCAGGCTAGCGTGATCAGTCACCACCTTGAACGGCATCAACTCAACGTACGGCTGGAATCTTTCGACCGCTTTTACCGCAGCCAGGCATTCCTTCTCGGTGACACTATAGTTTAGCTGAGCGCCCCGAAGCTTCGCTGAAAAGAAAGCTATTGGCCTTTCCGCCCCGTCTGCATCGTGCTGGAACAAAACCGCTCCTATGCCCGCTTGGCTCGCGTCACATTGGATCACGAACGGCTTCCGAAAGTCTGGATGCACCAACACTGGCGCGCAGGTGAGTGCCCCTTCAACTCCTGGAATGCCGCAACCGCTTCGGCCGATAACTGGAACTTTCCCTTTCAGGCAGTCCGTTAACGGCGCGGAAATCGTGGAAAAATTCCGAATGAAACGCCTATACCAGCCCGCGGTCCCCAAGAATCGGAGGAGCTGCTTCGCGCTGGTCGGCAAGGAAATCGCCCGAATCGCCTCGACTTTCTCCGGGTCAGTCCGCAACGCACCATCGCCAACCACAAACCCCAAATACTTCAAGTACCTGTAGCAGAACTTGGATTTTTTTAAGGAAATCGTCAAGTTGGCTACTCTCAAGGCACTCGCCACGTCCAACAGCACCTTGCAATGATCCTCAAATGTTCTGGATATTATGAAGAGGTCGTCCAGGTAGACAAATACATGGCTTCTCAAACGCTGGGGAATCACCTTATCCATCACACGGCAAAGGCGCTGCGCCGCATTGCACAGCCCAAACGGCATGGCCTTAAATTGGTACAGTGGCCTTCCTGGTACCGTAAACACGGTGTACTGCCGGCTTTCCCGATCCAGTTCGATCTGCCAAAAAGGTATCCTCCACTCGGCTCAAAATCGACTCAATGCCCTGGAATGGGTAATCCTTCACCGTGGGCTGATTTAGCTTTCTCGCGTCTAAGCACAACCGGTTCTTTCCAGGCTTCCTCACCAAAGTCACTCGGTTGCTCCATGGACTCTCACTTGGCTCGATCACCCCTAACCGAAGCATCTCGTCGACTTCTGCAAACAATAGCGTCTGCACTGCCGGCGACACGGGTTAAAAACGCTCTTTCACTGGCAGTGCCCCCTCCGTCAACTGAATGTGGTGCTGCTCCATTGGCATCTTACCCAGACCGTGCTCCTCGAAGGATCTGAATTGGGCCACGGCTCGCTGTAACTCCTCCTGTTGCCATGCCTCTAAATCGTGCGGCTCCGTTGGTGTACTCTTCCCTAAACACTCCTCGTCCAACTCAGCCACGTGCTGTCCTTCGTCTCCAGCCGGGATCACATTCGGAGCCAAACCGAACCTGCGCCAAAAATCCACGCCCAGATAAAGCGGTTGGCATAACGACAGGCAAACGTGAAATACCATGTCCGACACCGTTCCGTTATACCTAACGCGCGCCATCACGCTGCCAATAATGCAGTGTGACGCGCCGCTTGCTGTCCTTACCGCGGATTTGTTTTCGCGTACCACCAAACCTAGTTTTCGGACCGACTCTATGGCACCACTTCCCAGCAAGCTCACCGACGCCCCGGTATCCAACAGACCGGTAAATTCCCTGCCTTCAATCGATACCGTCGCATATGGACGGCTGTCGGCACGACATGCAGAATTCACCGCTGCACACTCCGCTTGACGTTTCTGTCGGCGTTCGCGGTGTCTCCTACGTGCCCGCAATGATGTCTTCGACGCCCCTCTCGCATCCGGTACGTGTTGGCTACCAAATATGCGGTTCCTGGCTACTTCATAGTGGCGCTGACGCTGCTCCAAGGGTTTCCGCTGCGACCATACTTTCTTCGGTGGGACTGCTTGGTTGACTTTATACATCTGTGAGTAAATATGACTAACGGTACTATCCTTATCGTTACTACTTCCTATCCTAACTACTGTTTCATCGGAGGTACGCGTTTTATCGTCTACCGAGAGTGCGACTCCTCCGGCTGCGTCGGACTCCTCTCCGAGTTTCCCGGACGGCATTTCGGACATCTTGGCAGCACTACGCCTGGTTGTCCGCATTTGAAGCAAAACATATTGCGCACCGCGGACTCGCAATCGAAATATGTATGCCCTGGTTGGGCACAATTCCAACACTTGAGAGTCGAGCGGCTCCCACCAGTTTCATGCGGCCTATATACCGCCTCCAAATGCTCCAGTTGGCTGCCTTCTGGACTCTCCGCTACCACGTCCAGCTCGTGTACTCGATGCTGCTCTCGCTGCTGCCCGTAGTTGGTGCTAGCTGGGGACCGCGCCCAACGCGTTGCCAGCATCTTTTCGGCGTCTTGGCACTCCTCTCTCAGCTTCTGCAGATTCGTTATATTCATCGGATAGATGACCCTAGACACGGTGTCTTTAATATTTGTCTTTATCACCTTAATAAGGTCATAATCCGAAAATGGACACACCAACCGAGAACGCAACACCAGCATCGCCTGAATATACTCTTCTATGCTCTCGCCATGCCGCCGCTGCAGCTGCTGGTCTACTACTTACAAAATCTCTTTCTTTCTCTGCCGGCTCGTACCCGCCTAAGGCTGGCCGCTGCATTTGCGCGTGAGCTCGCTCTGGCCTGCCCACCGGCGCCTGTGCTACAGACGGAGGCGCGCTATGCGTTTTCTCCTGCCTCAGCGCTGCCACTGCCTCATTAATCTCGCGCATGAACGACAGCATGCTGGCCTGCATCGTCTCTCGAATGGCCTCTACTTCTGACGACAACGATGCGCGATACGTCTCGTGGGCCTGTGCTAATGCCACGTTGATCGCTGACCGAATTTCGCTTGGCAGCGCAGACTCGGCTCCGCCACCCTGCTCTTCACCGCCATAGTCATGCGCGCGTGCGCCGGCTGTTGCTCCGGAACTGTTCGGCAATTCATCCCCAAATCCTCGGAACGCTGCCTCGTTTACACTCGGCGGCGATGCGTCATCATGGAGTGCTTCTGCTGGCTTGCCCGCCTCACTCAATCCTACGTGAGGAGGAGAGTCCAAGTGAACCAATGGCCTATTTCTACTAAACTCCTGACTCCGCCTGACCTTCCGGGTAACATTCGGGTCAAGATTCATTTCTCAGTACCTTGTTAATCCAAACCCAACAATAAACGAATAAATAAACCGACCGGTGTACGCGTATGTGTCTCTAAATGGGCAGCGGGGATAATATACTCCCACCGCTATATACACACTATATACCCGCAACACCAGCTTACCTACATAAAATAATTAAATATACCAGTATATGCAAATACAAAAGGAAAACCACAAATAACAAAGAAAATGGTAATAAGTGAATGCAAAAAACGTAAATATACTCCACACGCAAAAACGTCCAATAAATAAATAAATCGTGGATATACGATACTTGTACGCCTCCGGCAAAACCAAAAAAAAACTTAGACTAAATAAATATATAAGTGCCACACGCAAATAAATAAGTAGAATAAATAAATAAGAATAAATAAATACACCCAAAAAAAAAACTGAACAAACAAAAAAAAAAAATAATCCTAAGCGAAAATATTACTCCCAAAAAAAAACAAACTAACGATAAGTTGAACTTCAAATTCCCGCCCTATGTACAGACCCGCTAACCTGTGCCAAAAAAAAAAACCCCTATCGATACTTATTAATATCGATGGTTCAGCCCAGGAACAGCTGTGCTAGGCCGGGACCATTCACAATGGACTCCCTGTCTATTGACAACTTATTTGACATAAGACCAATAAAAACAGATTCTCACAATTACAGACTCAATAACCAGACATGTAAGGGTGAGATGGGGATCCTCAGTATGACGCTGCACCACGGCACGCTGTCACTGCAGAAGGTAAACAACCAAAACAAACATATATGTACCGCACGCTTTACACCACCCAATTTCTTCCAGGCGCCGACTAAAACTCAAATCCTGCTCGGGCTATGGCGAATTGCTGCTCCTATGCTCTGCTACGTAGGGCAACGATGCTCCTTCCGCTTGGGACTGGACATGGACCTACTACGCAACCATACATAAGAAATACCAAATAACCACAAAAAAAAGGTAACTAAGACAAAAAAAAACAAGGCAACTAGACTAGTCTTTACTTAACACCTAACAGACATTCCTCTCGATCTTTTCAGCCTCAGAACACCCTGTAGGGCAACAATGAGTGGGCACCAAGACCCCTCACGGACCTGCTACATCTGCCCCTTCGCTGCACCTTCTCTGCTGGTTACCCACCTACACCGCGCTGTAAGAAAGATGCAACTGCGGCAACGATGGGCTGAGCCCTAGTGAAGCTCACCCACGGACCTGGCAGTTGCACCGTTTCCCGCCGGCTCAGGGGCCGCCAGCAGCTATTGTTGTTGAAAGCTACATTAAATAAAGAAAACAAATCAACAAAAAAAACAAACAACAAGACTCTGGCTTTTACTTCGCTTCAGACTGAGGCAACATTTGCCAAAATGCTTACCCAGGTGTATTTCAGATTGGGCGCCATCTTGTTATGTCCGCCTTTGCCAGTGCATCCCCTGTCGTTACGCCGGCTAGCCATCGGCTCAGGGTCAGATTCGACCGCGACAGGGGTGCGGCAGACCAACAATGAATTTATATTTTTTTTTCAAACACACCTACTCATATTGTCGGCTGAGGGACGCTTGTGGAATTTGGGTGGAGTTGTGGCTACTTTGGTGTCATGTAGCCGCGTGGCCCTCCCTACCTTGAGTCGGTTTTGGCATTTTGTTGCCGGCTCCCTTCAACATGCTTGGATTGGTTTTTTCTCCTGCTCCGGGACTTTTATCACCCCATCTCACCCCATAAATGAACTCTACTCCAGATTCATGTGTAAATTTTAAATTTTATTACAATAAAAATAAACTTTAATACTTAAGCCATTGAATTTTGGGACGCTGCAGTTCGTTGGCTATTTGTGCCTATTTTACTTATTTGAATTTGTAACCTCTTTCTACCTATACTCGAGTATGTAGTTATGAGGGATATTATTAACAGGAAATAAACAAAAAAAAAACTGCGCCGCTCCAATACACATTACAAACTCCTTTACTTATGTTAAATTTTATACATTTTCTTTTACCTTTTTTTTTGTTTTTCTTTCTTAAGTATACATTTGAATTTTTGTTTACAATATGGTTACTTGTTTGGTGTTGTGTTTCTGTTTAATGTTTTATATTATGTTGTGATTGTTTGGGCTATGTGTGTAACAGAAAATTTTTAATTGTTTTGTGTGTTGTATTGTTATGTGACTTGTATATGAATGGGTGTGTATTTTGAATTTTGGCTATGGCATACATGTGTATTTTTCTTTTGGTGTAGTGTATTTGAGTTTGTTGTATATAAATGGACTATGTAGGGGTGGGCTTTATATAATTATGGGCTTTATATTAAATGGATTATGTGCGTGTGGGCTGTATATAAATTTTGTGTATGTGTTTAAATTGGGCTATGAAAATGACGGATGTGTGCGTGTGGGCTGTATATAAATTTTGTGTATGTGTTTAAATTGGGCTATGAAAATGACGGATGTGTGCGTGTGGGCTGTATATAAATTTTGTGTATGTGTTTAAAAAGAATATGCATATGTGTATAGATATATGTAAGTTGGTAGTCGTAGGGGTACTTAGCCCGAGTCCAAACGAGCACCGCTGGCTGTAATCAAATTAAAGCTGAGGCCTCATGAAGAATGATGCGTCGCCGGCCGGTGTTGGCGCTGTCGTCTGTCGTGGCTACAATGAAGCCCTCCTGCATCCAAGCTACGCTCGTTCACCAAACCGCCCACAGCCCAATTTTCAGGCCCCCCGTCGCTTCGGTTGCCGATCGCCTCAGCCTAGATGTTCCCAAAGATATACTTCCTCGTCCTCTCCTTGTCCTCCAGCTATTCCTACGTTCTAAATCTTCCACTTTGCTTCCTTTTCTTCTTTCTTTCCCTGTGTGCGTTCCAACTACCACGTGCACGTCCCTTTGTCACTTGCCAAAACTGTGCCTTTGCCCTTGTCGGAAACTACTTATTGTCATTCCCAAGGAATTGCTACTTTACCCACTTTGCAACCCTCCTAATTGGTAGCACTGGTCCTCACCCCTCACGCACGAGTACTTGTTATCGGCCCGCTCCAGCTGTCAATCGCGCGAGTTGCCACTCCTTTTGTCCGACGACATTTGTGGTTTCCCAATACTGCCGCGCCGCACATAACACGTAGCAGTAGATCCGGTTTGAGTAGTTTTTTTTCATATATAATACTAGCAGGTATTGCCCGTCTTAACCCGGCTCAATATAATGTTTCCAATTGTATTTATTTTGTGTGTGCATAACCTACCCATATGTTTTCACCTTATAAGTTACCAGTAGGAAGGCATTTAAGGTATTTAAATGAACATTTTCTGTTCTTGACAAAAAATTGTTCAGTAGTCCGTTACATTTTTGTTCTTGCCAAACTATTTCGTTAAACGAACATAACCACTATAACTAATATTTTTTAAAGCTCGTTTTCCCCCCTTTGGAGCTAGAATTTTCCAAAAGCCTTTCTTAGTGTGCTCCTACACTATGATGGATACTATGAAAGGATACTTGAGTCCAAATTTCATCTTTTACCGTTTGGGCTGTGCGTTGATCACCAATTAGTCAGGACAAACTGTTTTATATATAGAGATAACGCAACGTTTTAAGATAGACTATGTGCAAAAAAGGGGAATAATTATAAGGGTTTATCCTAATTTTAAATTCACATTTGAGTCTTTTCGTGCCATATTGAGTCAATACGGTCACGCACAAACTCGGAATATGAAACACGGCACTCGTGTCAATGCCGTGCAGCGATGAGCCACGATCAAAAAACACTGACAATTCTCATCTCAATTTGCTAGAGTAAAACTTTCGATAGTTGAAGCCACCGATACCATCAAAATATCGAAGTTTGAATGCAATAAGCAGAATATTTAAACAATAAAATCTAATTATTTATTGACATCAATAAGAACAAATCATATACATACATACATCTTCCCGCAATGCGAAGCAGAATATGCGTAGCTCCGTTATTCGGTTTCTGCTTTACTATCGCTTACGCAGTCGTTGCCTAGCGACGGTAACTGTAAACTTTTGGCGTTTTGCCTTTGCAATTAACATTAAATGGTCAAAACGAAAGATGTGCGAGCCAACAACTTGAAGTTGTTGTTGTTGTTTTGTATGTACATGCTACATACATATACAGGCATACATACATATGCTTGTACATATGTATGTATGCATGGGCACACATAGACACGAACTGTTGCTTGTTGTATGTATGTGTGAGTGTGTGTATGGGATGTCCCCAACTATTTGATATTTGATATACATATGGCAAGTAAAAAACATATTGCTATATTTCAAGCGTTGAATGCCAATTTGTTGATATAGTTATGTTGATAACATTACCCAAATTTGAAATCGATCGGACAAAATGTATAACACAAACTATTCATTTGAAAAAGTGAATAAATAAAAAAAGCCCCAATAATAAAATTAAATGCGAAATACAACGAAAAAAAAAACGTTTGAGTGTTATTGATTATAATACTGTATTCGATTATTCACTGTACACATATGTATGTACATAAATACATACAAATGTATTTGCATGTGTACGGTAACTGTAAACTTTTGGCATTTTGCGTATGCAATTAACAGCCGTAAATTATCAAAACGAAAGAAGATTTGCGAGCCAATAACTTGTTGTTGTTGTTGTTTTAAAAATTTTGATTTGAAAACATAGAACACTATTTATTACAATCAAACAACAGTGTTCGATGGCCCACTGCATACATACAAACCTATATATGTATATAAGAATGTATATACGTACATACATACTTATTGATGTACATATGTACATACTATACATACAGACGTATGTACATATGTATGTACGTATGTAATACATATGGTGCTGGTGTAATTCATAATGCGAAATTCTTTCTAAGGGGAGCAATGTCCCCCCTGCCCAACATGCGTACGCCCTTGTAGTCCGTTGTCCTAAAAACCCCTTATGCCAAATGTACTAAACAAAGAAAAAATAACATAAAAATGTTTATGTTATAATGTTAATAATTTTTAATTAATTAACATTTCTTGCCCTGTCAGTGCAAGACGAATGTACTTTTATACATATGTATGTACATACATATGTACATACATAGATGTGCACATATGTATGGACATTCACACATTAGTGTCTCACATGTTGCTTTGGCTATTTCAATCGTTTGCACGCAACTACACGAACAGCTGTTTGTATGTGTGTATATGTATACTTAGTTGTCCCCAACTGTTTGATATTTTGTATTGTTTGTTCTGCCTGCTTTTGTAAAATGCATATTTTGAAAATCCTTGAATGCAAAGTTGTAGATTTAGTTACGTAGATTACATTATCCAAATTTTAAATCGATCGGACTAAATTTATAACAAAAACTTTTCATTTGAAATAGTGAATAAATATTAAAACCCCAATAATTCAAGCTCCAACACAAATTTCGAAAAACCGAGTATTTCTGTTTGTATTCTTTTATATATTATAAAAACCAAATTTAAAGTTGATCGATTCAGAAATGCAGAATTTTCAAACAAACTTTGGAGCTACTTTCCCCCCCTTTGGAGCTCGAATTTTCCAAAATCCCTTCTTAGTGCGCACCATGATAGCATACTTGAGCCCAAATTTCAGTTTCCTAGCTTTTACCGTTTGGGCTGTGGGGTGTTGATTGTGTTTCAATTTTTCCACGGAAAACCCCTCTTTTTCATGCCCCAGGAAAAATGGTAAAAAACCAAGTATGCAGTTTTTCTTGTATTCTTTTTGAGAGTATACAAACTAAGTTTGAAGTTAATTGGATGAAAATTTTAGATTTTTCCTACAAACGTTGGAGCCCCCCTTTGGCGTTCGAATCTACCAAAACCTACACCACTGAAGACAACATGTGTCCAATTTTCAGCCTCCTAGCTATTACCGTTTGGGCTGTGCGTTGATTGCAAATAGCTTTTCGTTTACCGAATTTTCCACCGGAAAATCATTATTATTCAGGCCGCAGGAAAAATATTGAAAATCCAAGTATACAGTTTTTTTGTATTCTTTGTGAGAGTATACAAACTAAGTTTGAAGTTAATCGGATAAAAATTGTAGATTTTTCATACAAACGTTGGAGCTCGTTTTCCCCCTTTGGAGCTCGAATTTTCCGAAACCCCTTCTTAGTGCTCACTTTCACTATA